TTTTGTTACCTGGCTAGGCAACATCTTCAGTGCTAGAATGGAATGGGGTTTGCTCTCTGTTTATATACAGTGGCATAGATGCACTATATATAAACAAAGAGCAAACCGCATTCCATTCTAGCACTGAAGATGTTGCCTAGCCAGGTAACAAAATCTTTGCAAGAAAACAACCAAGCACAGAGAACACCAAGGACTCCACAATAGATATCTTCTCATTTCCAGAAAGCCTCTGTTAGAAGATTACAGTTGTATGGGCTGTGCAATGCTCATTGAGTTACAGTATGTAAGGTGGCTATATGGATCTTCTTTTAAGAACGTAAGCATAAACTTAAAGATAAAAACATAAGCAGTGTCCTACTCATCTAGTCCAGCAGTTTGTTGTCACAGTGGCCAACCAACTGCACAAGGAAGCCTACTAGTTTCCCAACAAAAGCTTTCAGAGGCAATCCCATTGCCATCAAAGCTAATAGCCATTGATCTACATTGATTTCTTTCTTTACCTTTGGAGGAACATAAATTAGCTGGCTGGTCTCAGCATTGCAAGACTTCTAGAGCTACCAACTTCATTTTTTGTTGTAAAATTCATGTGTGAATGAATCAGTGCTGTGTAGGGTTATACCCAAGTACATCTGGGATCATGAAATGCAGCTAGCTGGTACAAGGCTTTTTGAAAAAAAATAATTAAAAAAATATTGGCCACTTTGTTTAAATATGACAAACTTTTCAACCAAACCGCAATTCCTACAAAGTGCTCCACAAAAGCAGCTGTCTCCCCTCAGGCTTGTTTAGAGGGACACGTAGCTCACAAAGTGGGATATTTGTAATACCTTTATTCCCAAGCCAACATACTAGGTGTCAAAGCCTGACAAAGTTGTCAAGTTGCTGCCAAAAACCTACCTAGCCAGTATGAAAGGACTGCACTTTTTATAGATTGCTTTGTCTCTTCATTTGTATATTGGGGCCATATACTTAAAACTAAATTCGATTTTGAAAATTTAATGCCATTTCCTTGACATTAAACCTTATTTCATTAATCATATATGACACCTAACCCAGGGAGGAAAACCCAAAGGAAGAAAAAATGAATTGCATAAGTAGGCCAATAGATAAAGATGACTTTTAGCATCTTATAGCATAACTCAGCCATCACTGTGGCAACCTATCACTAGTGTAGATGAGCCTTATATCACTATAGTGATGTCTGGGTGACACGATAAACCACAAGTATAGAAATGGGCCCAATTTTGTCAGGGTATGAAAATCTTTAAAATAAACACTTAAAAAAAATTGTCCCTCTGCCCTTTTTTCAATAGTTTTTGCCAAAGCAATTATCTGAAAATTCTGGTTTCTGCCCACCCCCCTCCCCTCATTTTTTCATGCCATTTTTATTGTATCTATACTTTTTCTTGGATACCCTTATGCAATTTGGAGTCTTCCAGCTTGTGTAAAACTGTGATTTCCATTTTCCTCAA